ATCAAGGTACCATCACTTTTTCCTGTGGACAGTACTTTGATCATTCAACCTTAATGCAAATAAGCTGAATAAATTTATGTGCCATAAAATATTCTTTTTTTTTCCATTGGAGCATAAAAGCTCTGGATTTCAATTATTCATTCTGTTTGTGAGCACTATGCACTGTATTGTAATTCTCTAAAACCAAAGTGTTTTCATTACCCCATTACATGTCAGATTCCATGGGGTCTTGTAATTAACTTTCCAGAGGCAGAATTTTGTCAAGGAGAAGATGATGACACTTATGTCTATCTTGTTCCCTACTAGAATAAATATGGCTAGAGATAGTAAAATCATTTTTCAAAATTTCTTTTATTTGTAATTATTTATTTATTTGCATATCTATTTGTTTATTTCTGGGATACTTGGGCTGTGAAAATCATGAATGCATTGTGTTTTCCTAAAGAGACAGTACTTTGGGGTGTTTTACAATGCCATTTCCTAGTTTTGTGAAAATGGTTTTACACACTTGCATAAAGATTAGGTCTCTTATGCTCCTTTGAACAAGAAATGATCACTGTGTTTCTAACAAAGATGGGAAATGTAAGATGAACTGAAGAAAGAATTACTAATAGGTAATGACACATGAAATTCATGAGTTAATGTAAGAAAATAGTCCAAACACAGAGCTGGTACATTTTAAAATTGAAATGTGTTCATCTCGACATGTGACCTCACAAACATTAAGGAAGGTACATTTATAAGCTATCCATATGGACACATAAATTTGTGGGTTTGGAATTCCAGAAGCTTAAAATACTAACATATAAAATAGAAACATGTGATCCTTTTGATACTATTATTCCTTTAGAATAAATATTCACATCTTTCTGTATGTTCTAGACCACATTGTTGGAGAAGTTGCTCATTAAATTGAGAGAATTGAATCTAGTTTTCCAGCAGAAGACATTTCTCAAGCTCTTCCCCAGATTATGTGTTATAAAACATTTAATCCATGTTAGATAGCTATTTAATCTCCAAGCAGCTCTATAATATTGTGATCCAAAGAATAGTCTATGCACTCAGGTCCATATCTCAATATCCATTGTTTCAGATAAATGAAAACGCAGCAGTTCAGTAAAGACCTGGAATATTCATGCACCACTATGAGACAGTGCCATCCTACTGACAGCTGTATGTGACCCCCTGAATGCATCATTCTGATACAATTATCAGGAACCGGTTTTAAGGTTGTAAAGCACAGATTAAGGAGAAAATAGAGCTTTCCTTTGATTAAAAAATATAATACATAATACTTGGTCCTGAGGATTCTAAGTGATCCCAGCTATTTCCCTAAGGCAGTCATTTGAATCTGTAGTCTCATTGTATGGTCATCTTTAAGTGATGAGGGAGGAAGGGATGAACTAAGGATAAAGCCAGTGAAAAATTTTACTTCTATACTTTGTATGCATCATTTGACATTACCAATTTATTTTAAAATTTCAGTTCTGATATATAAACTAGATGTCTTCAAAAGTCAGATTGCCATTCAACAACTGTTTTGAACCCTGGTTGTGATCCACTGGAGGGCTGCTAAGTGTTAGTTGGAATTATTTCCTTAATAGACTAGCTAATTAATTAATTAATTGTAGGAAAATCTGAGAACCAATGAAATCATTCATGAGAATGGATAAGAAGAAAAACTCTACATATGCAAGGACCATTTACTATGAGTAATGTTTAGCACAGTAATTCCATTAATTCATATCTTCATGGCATAAGAGTAGGTTTTATAATCAATGAAAATTGAAGGAAGAAGGAATGAATAAAAAATGGAGAAGGAATTTCTCATTTTCTAAATTATTGATATATTCTTCTCTAAGCATGTAATAATCAGCTTTCAACAAAGATTGGCCACAAAATTTTTTTTAAGCAATTCTGCAAAATAATTCAACAATAGATATTTTTTGAGAGTTTATCTTTGCTGGGCACTGTGTGGAGCACTGGGTAATGCAGCAAGCAGATTAGGCCAGGATCTTGTTCCCTGTGAGCATCCTATGCGACTACAGGACATGTCTGACTATCATTAGGAATTTTAGTTTATTAGTATTTGGAAATAATTCCTTTGCTTGTAAGAGAAGAGTTTGGATTAATGCTTTGGCCCCTTTCTTGTTCATAATAAAATTTCTTCAAACCCTAGGATTCTCTAGGTGTTAGACATGTGGATGATCAGTTCTTAGGATGATTAATCTGCCTTCAGGGAACCTATCTCTACCTGAAAAGACAGGATATAGACCAGAAAACATATATTAATCTCAGAAAATATCTGATTGAATCAAAATACCATGGCCACAGCTCTAGATTTTAAAATGTGGTCACACTTACTGTTTGCTCTGGGAACAAGCTTTATTCCAGGCACCAGTTGTAGAACAGTAGTTTAGAAACCAGAACCAGCTGACACCACTCTTTGTCTCCCTGCACTTGACATCCTGAAATCTTTTCACTGGAAATCTTTATGTCTCTTTTGGGAAAAACTGGTGCTCTCTCCTACCACAGAAGAGTTCATTCATAATTTTAAAATAGGGAACATTCATAATTTTAAAATAGGGAACATTCATAATTTTAAGATTTCTCTCATAGTTATTTTCTTCATGTCTGTGGCATCCATAGATTTAAATGCTGGAGGAGAATGCAATAGAATCATTTGCTTTCTGAAATAATCTGTCTCCTGCTATATATAATGGAAAGTTTGTGTTTACATTTTATTGTTTTACTACTATTAAATTTGGTCAAGAGCTTATCAGCCAATTGGTAGGTATGTCTTAGTCACCTGCCACTTTCTGACCAGGTGACTGTGCTGGAGGCTGGCCGCACTCCTGAGATATAACTCCTACATGGATGACATCATGGTCTCTGGCTTACTTTCTATTGTGGTGTTCAGAATTCTTTTGAAAAACCTCCACAGATAACACAGTTCATATGATGAATCTTTGCAGGGATTTTGTACAGAATAAACTATATTATGTCTGCTTCATGGAATACCTCCAGAGTTTTACTATCATGAAATTTAAATGTTTTCCTCTCTAATGGAAAATCTGATTCCCTTTATCTTAAATGGCTTTCTTAAATGCCTAAGTGATGATAACTGTAGCTTCCTTTTACTAAAACATGTGTCTACTTGTGTATTATCAACTGCTGTAAGACATTTTCCCAAGCTAAGCTGGGGGATAAAGTCTGCCACCCTTTTTTGAGAAAATTGAAAGAAAACTTTGCTGAAAGCAAGTGTTTCTTGTAGTAGTTGTGCTGTGAGGCATGTTGTCTTCACTAGTTGACCACAAATTTCCCAAGGCTCATATGTTGCCATATGTTATTTCTTGAAGTTTCTGTGCAAATTCTAAATTAAAAGGGAAACTATTCTCATATACACAAGGATCTTTATATTGTGTATATATAATGTATGTGTACATTTCCTTAATGTAAACATATATAGTTTTGTTCTATAAGTAAATATTCATTATACATTCTGTATATAACAATGTATACATTACTATGTTTATATGTACAGACACACTAAATCCTTTAGTTTCAGTTCTAAACTATGATTTGCATAAAAACCTTGTAAATTCAGGCAGTAAATGTATGTGTTCATGACAATTTCTATTAAATAGAATAAAGCTACTCAGAGCTGTAATTTATTAGGCACTGTCTTTAGTGACTTTTTAGGAGAAGGCTGAGTGAAAGGAAGCAAATGCATACTGGAGATTTTTGAAAGAACTTCTAGAATGTGTTCTATGTCAGCAGCCACTCAGACCCTCTCAGCATGCACCTATGGGAGGAAGGAGTCTCCTCCACAAGTTTCCCTTGCTTTCCTTGACCTGTTCTCATCTCTCACTACAGTCAGTTCTACACACTATCTCTTCTTCTGCGTTTCTCTCATTTCTCTGAATAATGGGTAATAGGTAACAGTCCACTTTCTATCCTGGTTGATGGATGTGGTTCACCTATCCTCCTCCTTCCTGACACGTATCTTCTGCTTTTTGGTACCGAAGCAGTAGGTACAATGCACAATCTATGAGAATCAACCTGTCACATCTGTCAGGTTGAACAGAGTTCCAGATGTTGAACTAGACGTACATTAACTGAAGGAAGGAAGCACTAAGTGTGAGCTGATTTCTGCTTAATTGAACTTTTTGGTTAACTGAAAATTAACAACAGAAGTTTAGTGAGTACTTTAATCCTTGCCTAGAAACATTCCTGCTGAATTAGGGAGAATATAACCAGCACATCAGTTCTTCTGCTAAATTTGAGTTAGTGCATTGTAGGCCTAGCCCCTCATCAGATTTACCCTCCTGTCTGCAGTCTGGCATGTCTTGAGGGCTCACACTTATCTGTTGAATGAATGAGTTGATTACTTTATTTATTCCTATAGAGATATTTATCAAACTGCTACATTTTGCTGGGTTTTCAAACAAGCAGGATGGATTAAATTATTTCCGGATCATCCTCAAAGTGAAAAATCCGTTCATCAAAACTATGCCCAGACCAACTTCTCAGTTGCTTTAGTATCATAATAATTGTGGTTTAAAGACTTAAGATTGTTGTCCAGAAATACTTACGTTGATCAAGATGTAAACTGAGGATGGCGGCACATGATTGTAATCCAAGCACTCTGGGGAGCTGAAGCAGGAATATCATACCTTTGAGCCCAGCCTGGACAGCTTAGTGAGAAGCTGTCTCAAAATAAACAAATACAAAAGGGCTGGTGATGAATCTCAGTGTGGAGGCCCTGAGTTCAATTTCCAATACCACCAAAAATGTAACTAGGAAGTGTCCTGAGGACAGGGACCTCAGATACTAAATTTATCTACTGTTTTTCAACAAAAGGAAGGTGGATAGGGATTTGAAATCCAGATGAGCTTCAGAGACATGGAACAGAAGTTTTAATTAAATACCAATATGCATATACTTGTATGTGTGATAGATTTTTTAATTATTAAAAATTACACCCATCTCAAAAGATGTTCAGGCTCCAATTTAAAATTTTTCACTCCTCCACATCTCCCCAAACCTTCATATTGTTTGACAGTATGTTGCATGACTGTTGCCTGTAAGTGTGAAAAGTCAGGATGAGAGTTCACAGCAGGTTGATGGCCTGGAGATGAGAAGTCTGTCTGAGGACATTTCAAAGTTGTAAAGGTATTATTCTCACATGGAGTTATTTCTCAGTGGGTGTGAACAACAGCTACTCAGCAAGCTGGTGCAGTGTGAAATAGAGTTTCCTGAAAAATGATGTGCAGACATATGCAGAAAGCCACATGCTTAGTACATGCACAGACTGTGTGCCTAACTTCCAAGGGTTGGGATATTTGCCCAGGAGATGAACTAGAAATGGTGAGTAGCCCAGGGGAAAGTGTAGTTTGGAATCACCTGATCCATCAGGTTCAAAGCAGATACATGTTTAAGGACGAAAAGCACAAGTGCAGCTGGATGAAGAAGGGAAGTCTGAGGAAATGCTAGAGGGATCCGGGTTTATGCAATACATCAGATATCTTTCCATATAATGCCAGAAGGTCTGTGTCTGCTCTGACAACAATTATGCTTAGGGCCGGGGATTTAGCTCAGTGGTTCTACTGCCTGCCTCACAAATGCAAAGTCCCGAGTTCAATCCCCGGTACCAAAACAAAACAAACAAACAAATAATTATGTTTATTCTGCATTATATCATTTTATAATTTTAGAGTTAAAAGCTGGTTTCATTAATCTTCCATGCTGACTGAAGGGAGTCATGCTCAGAGGTACTCTGTTCCTGTGATGGTGTATATCTGCTGAGAAAGTATCTGTCCAAGTTCATCTGCAGCCCTCTGCTCCAGTGTGTTGTTTAGGTATTAGATTTATTTGGACCTTTTCTTCATATAGCTTAAGCATGGTGCACAGATCTTTACATGAGTATTTTTCTCTGCTGTGTGGTTTTCCTCATAGCTTCTGCTATCTGCACAGGAAGGGAGGAAGAGCAGTTAGGAGAGTAAATAAGACTTAAAACTGATAAACCTGTAGACAAGGAGAGAGTGGGGAAAAACTATACCTGTATTTATATATGATTATTTTACCCTCCATATTTAAAAAGAGTATTTAAAATGGCTCACCCCCTAAAAAAGTATGCATGCCATAAGGCCTATGAAAATATCAACAGAAAATAAAATTTTGTAAAAAAAGAAAATTCAAATATGCTAACTAAGAGTGTTAATGAGAATAAGAATTAGTCATTTCACTACACAGATGGAGGTTTACTTGTGTGGTTTGGTTGGCAGGTGTGCTGACTCCATGGTGTTAATCTTCAGGTTCATCGCGTGGGAGGCCCTAGAGAATTCTTTCCTTCAGTTAGAAAAGACCCAAATAAAGAGATGCAACTTGCTAGTAATCCTAAGACTGGACAGGTTAGGGGTTAAATACTGCTTCACATTCCAGAATCCCTGCTTGCTATTCTGTGAGGTTCAGTTTTCATGCAAAAAGGAGTGGCTGACCAGAAACAAAACACATATTAAGGCAGAGTATTCCTTATTCTCATTGGCATTAGTTTGTTTTTTTAAAAATAGCTTTTTAAAGAAGCTCGTTTCATAATTCCAAATAAAAGTTGAAAGATGAAAATAAAGATCTGTATCCAATTACTTAGCAACAACTTTGTTATTGGGCAAGGGTGCATTTTTTTCTCCAATTTGCTCTACTCCTAATATAAACAAGCCCGGAAGTTTTGCTTGACTCAGCTTTCTCTGTCTCTATATCCAATGTATTAGAAAATCCTACTTTTTTAACCATTACCATTTATATACTATCAGCATTTCCCCCCAAAGTCTGCTGCCGATCGTACCTGCTCTCAGCTGTCGCCAGCCCTCTGAAGAGTGTCAAAACTGCCTCTTCCTACAGTCTTGCCATAATGTCCTCTTAACAGTGCCAGAATGTTCCTTTGGGCACATAAGTCAAATTTTGTCATTCCTACGCTCAAAAATCTCCAATGACTTTCCAATTTGTACCAAGAAAACGTTCATATCTTCCATTATTATAGCCTACAAGGTCCTTCACTATCTGGCTTAACCTACACATTATCCTGTGACATAACATTGTATTTGAATTGTTGAATACACAGTATTTCAGTTAACAATGTATCACACTTTATTTAACCAACCATCTATAGATTAAGACTGTTGCTTCTAATTTTTTCCTGATATAAATAAAGATGAAATAAATATACTATGAAATAAATCATGCAACTTCATTTTCATTGTAAACATGTTGTTGAACTTCTATTGGAGAGTATGCCAATTACATTGCCTCTAACCTACACATTTCTGAGCAACTGATTCTGGTTACAATTACAGTTCAGCCTCTGTGGAGGCTATAGCAGACTATGTAAGGCCTCAAATTTTGCATCCCAATTCCTATTTTGATAGTGGTGAGATTCTGTACTACTGTTGGCACTGAATTCGGTGCCAGTCTTCTTGCTTTGCCTTGTCAAATTGGACAGGGAGACGGCTGTCTTGCAAAAGTGGAATTGTCACTAATTGGCCACAGAGGAAAGATTCAAATTCTTGCCAAAAGTCTCCTGCCTTCTAAGGGAATAAAATCCTCCATATAACTTTCCCCTCTCATTAAAAAGAAACAAACTCAATATGAAAAGCACTTTGTGGCTAGAGAGCATTATGTGTGTGTTAGGAAGGTGCTGTTGCTATTCAGGTTAAGGTGTCTCTGTTGGGGCTGGTGGAAGAGGAGGGTCCAGGTAGTATGCTGAATACTCACAGGAGGCTGGTCCGTGGGGGCTGGCTTTTTTCACCTGTTTGTTATGTCCTGCTAAGAAATGTCAAGAAAGAAGCAACAGTAAATAACTTTTGACTTCACTTTGGCTTTTTCATTTAAAGCAGAGTACTTCAGGTGCATTCTACATACAAAATGAATGCTCTTGAAAATGTTTTGTCTCTTGTAATGTTTGAAATTTAAGTTGGTTTTCTTTATTATGTCAAAACAAATTTAGTAAGAGTAAACATCACCTCGTAATGGAAAAGACAACTCCTTACTTTTGTTCACTATATGGACACTGGAAAAGGTACTCTATAAGAAGTAGAGCTAAATTGTTCTTTTTCCGAAGTAGCATATATTCCAAAGATTTTTTTTATTAAAAACACTACACATAATTTATAAAAATCAGGCCAGATGATATTTTCCTGAACATTTCAAAGAACTGGATTTTAACAAATCTATTTCTCTTTAAATTTAAAAGAATGCAAATATGTTTACAAGTCTAGAAATATGTATGTTGGAGTTTAAAATGTGATTGAATAAATTTTCAGGAGTTAAACCACTTATTTTTAGAATGTAAAATAGGTTTTAATTTTAGATCTTCCTAAAGTGAATTAAAAAAAGAAAAATTCTGTCTTCTATAAGATATCAGAGTTTAGGGAAATAGTTAATTTTTGAATTATTCATTAAAATAAATCATTTTATTAATATATACATTTCTTTCTTTAGTCTTATTTTAAATGAATTTTTGAAAGAACTTTAAGTTTGATACTGGGTATGTTTTGGTTGGACTTGCTACACTATCAAGTTCACAATAGTCTATTCTTTTAAACTTCCCAAGGACCAAAACTGAAAAAAGAAGAAAAACAAAATATAAGTGAAAAATGTTGGAAGAATAAATTGTGACATTTGTTCTGGATTAATACATATGCTGACCCTGATATTTTTTATTTAAATAACATGAAAGATCACTAAAGATCCCCATCCCTGTTGCCTCAATGTCAATATTTTGCATGCAACCATAAACAATCATAATTGGCAGAATAAAAAATGTTTAAAGAATTAGGTTGAAATTTTAGGCTCAAGTAAATCAAGGCTTTTGCTTTATTTCATGAACTTTTAGAGATTGGAAGAAATTTAGAATAAATTATTCTGACTTTTCATCAAGCAAAACCACATCCTGGTTAAATCTTAAGTGTTTTTGCATCCCTGCCTGGACGAAGTGAGCTGAAAGTCAATAGAGAAAATTCCATCAAGAGAGCTGAAATCACCTTAATTTTATGACTAAGGATTTCACCTTAGAACTCGAACTGTCAGACATTACACTGTTCAGCAACAGCAAAACAATGACCTACCCCTTGCCAATGACAGTGTTCAATTCTCTCTCATGTACTCAACAGCAGATGTTCACTCTCTCTTCTTGAAATGTTTTATCCAGTTCTAGGATGCCACACATGCCAGCTTTTCTTTTTTGCCTCCTTCCCTGCCCTCTTTCTCTGTGCACTTTGCTGATTCTTACAGATCTGCGTATTGGTGTTCTCTACTTCTACTCTTTAGCTGTTTTATTTTTCTCTATAATCAATATTTTTCTAGGCAAATTTATTTAATTTCCAGGCTTTTTCCTTTCAGACGGTTCTCAAATTTGTGAGACTCCCCAGACTGTCCTCTCCATTGAGCTCAAGATGCATATTCTCCCACTGGCCTCTTTCCATCTTGTTCAGAAAGGCCTTTCTCTTCCACGGTGGCCAATGTGCCTCTCCCACTTCCCAATCATTGTCTACAGCCTCGCCTTATTTTTATTTCCATCATGGTATCTTCCAGTAGTACTTGAAATTAGTGTTTATTCAAATGCTGATTATTTGTCTTCTCCCTTCTACTAGGACATAGGGGAGGAAAGTAAAACTCAGTTTCCACAGCATTCCCAAAGTATATTCCCACAGACGAGAATACTATAAAGTATAAACATGTCTGTTCCATCTCCTAATTTTACAAATTACAAAATTAAGTAAAATAATTTACCAAAAGTAAGTTTAGTAAATAAAGCTCTTCTGTAAATGTACAGGAAGTTTCTGAATCCTGATGAAAGAGAGCTATGTGCAAAGTGCTATGGGTGTTGAGGTTGAGGAGCCATTGTTGAGCCTGGGGAGGGTAGAAAATGTGTTGATGGAGACCTCAGAAGAAAGTTTATTTCACGAGCTTGAGCAGGGGACTCCAGGTAGAGGGCACAGTCTGTGCAAAAGCCCAGGTATATGAAGTCAAATGAATCCCAGAAGAATGCCAGGTACTTTTATGGTTTTCACCTAAGGGGTTATTTTTATCAGAGCTATATTATAGACAGATGGACTTTGTACCTGAGTAAAACCCTTTTGAGATGCCAAGAAAGACAAAGTCTTATGGACTTTATTCTGATGTGTGATGGCAAGAAGTTTTAGAACCTTCTTGGAAAGCACTGGTGACATTACAGGTGTAAAGGAAAAACATGCTCTGCTTTCCTAGTGGAGTAGGATGTGGAAGATCTGTTTTCATCAAGGAAGTGCACTTCCAGTTGGAATAGTGTGTCACACAATTTGGGACTCTCTCTGGATAGAGACAAAGAACTACTTCATCTTCAACTGAGGATTGCATTTCAAATGCAGGGCTGCTAAAGACTAGAGACCAGGTAAGTCCCCATCCATTGACACCAGGGCCAGTTTTGGACTGGTTTAGGTGATGTAACCATGATAAACCCCTGAGCCCAGGTACATTTATAGTGTAAATGCTACCTAAATAACTGTCATACTATATTATTTTGGCAACAATGACAAAAAGTCTTATATGTTCAGTACAGATGTAGTTTTTTTCTAAATATTTTTGATCCATCTTTGGTTGAATCTTCAAAGGCAGAGCCCACAGATACTGAGGGCAGGGCCAACTGTATTTTTCTCCTTCTACATAAATTAGAGCTCATTGGCCTGTCCAGAAAAACTGGAAAGAAATCTACAAAGAGTGGTCCTCAGGAGGCTTGAAGGATTAAAGTCAAGAAGCTTACCTTCCCTCTTTGATTCAGTGGGCAACTCATTGTCTTATGATTTGGCTGCGAACCTCTGCAGTTCTTTCTTTCCAAGAAACTTTCATCACTTTACCTCCTTAATGAGAGTCTGTGTGTGAATTTCCCAGATTTTAATTTTTGTAAATTCCAATCACAGTGCAAATTATTATATCATATGCATTCATATCTTGGTATAGTGTAATCATATTTATTTTTATTTAGGATAATTTATCATATGTTTTTGTTATCTTAATCATCAAGTTTTAAAAATCTTCTGTGACAATCCTACACAAAATATCCTTGTTCCTACAACATATTTAATTTCTTCAAGAACTTTGGATCTGTGCAGTTAAAAAAAAAACTACCAGTAAATTTATACTTTGATTTTGAATACATTTTGTGTATTCAAGAGGAGAATATGAGATTGGAAGAAATTCTGCCTTCCACACTTGATTTATATTTATTTGTGCACTATGGTGCCATTGGCCAGAATGCTTGAAAACTGATAGTAATAAGATTTAAGTTCCTGTGAAGTCTGATTCTTATGTACTATCATGTTCAGTGTGATTTTCTTTCAGTTTTTCAACTACTATGTCTAAAAGAATTACTATGTTAATCTATTTCTATCAATCTAAAATACATTACCAGTTTTAACTCAATAGTACTTTGTGAGAGACACAAGAAGCAAGCTTAATTAACTCTTAGAGAAATAGATCAAAAATCAATAAAGAACTTTTCCATGTATACTATATATATACGTGGGAGATTATTTTGGTTTGGATGTTGATTGTCTCCCCAAAGGCCCATGTGTTAAAGACTTGGTCTCCAGGGTGGTATGATTAGAATGTGATGAAACTTTTGAGAAGTGGGGTTTAGTAGGAGGTCCTTAGGTCATGAGAGATGTGCCACTGCAAGGGATTTTGGGGCCTCACCTGTCCTTTCTCTCTATCCAGTCCAAGATGTGACTGTTTCTCCTGTATGCACTCCTGCTGTGATATGCTGCTCTCACCAGAGGCACATCAGTGGAGCTGCTCAGTCTTGTACTTAAACCCCTGAAATGTGAACTAATAAACTTTTTCTCCTTATAAAGTTAGCTGCCTCAGATATTTCGTTGTAGTAACACAAAGCTAACAGACATTACTAGGTGATTGTTCCAAAAGATGTTTTCTCTCATCTTTAACGTACTAAAGACTAGGTAGCTGTATTGTGTATGTCTATACTTATGAGATTTTCGATGGACAGACATTTAAAAGAATTATTGATTTCTTTTATCTTTTGAATCTATGTTAATGACTTACATGAAAAGTTTATCTGATTCAGAAGACAAAAATTTGATATGCTATTTCTATTAGTTTCTTCTAGAAATATTTTTAAAACGTTTATTAAATTTTTACCCTCTTCTAGCCAAAGGAGTAGTGAATTAACCAATTTTTTAAATTACATAGTGCTTATGTAACTTTCTCCTTTCTCTTCTTCCTCCCCTTCCATAATTATTTGTCTATTCAGTTTCTTTGTTTTGTGCTGGGTATGTAAAGTCAGATAAACATGAGGTGCATCTACAACAAACCAGTCTTCTTCTGTGAATTCTCATGCTCATTTCCCATTTCCCTTTCCTAGGATATACAGTACTTTCCTATGTTATTTGTGAATTAAGTTTCGCTTTTAAAATTATATTTTCTCAAGATAATTTAAGACTGCACACATTCTTTCTTATTCTTTTTCAAGGTAACATTTCTAAAACATATAAAAGAAAAACCCTAAATTGAGAGTTTATGTGATTGTATCCTTTTGTTTTAATTACTTAAAGTTTTGAATCATGAATGTGAAGTGAACCGTGATTCAGCAATGCTGACTCCATTTGCTGCTAAGATCAGATTCATGTGTTTGAGGCTTTCATTTTTCTGTCCTATGATAGCACCATCTGAAATGTTTTAGGTAATATGGTTTTTTGGCTGCTAGGAATTCAGAATTGACCACTATCCTCACAATCATTTATAAGAAAGCCAGAATTTGCTTCTAGAACCAT